CTGGCGGGGGGGCTGGACTAGATGATCTTTTCAGTCCTTTCCAACCCCTAACGTTCTGTGATTCTGTAAGGATCACCAGCCCTGGATCCAGCAACGACCATGGCACTGGCAGCAATCTTAGAGTGGGTGAAGAGCGCACAACCGCCCAGGGTTCTTACCTTTTATACAGTTAAGTTCCTGCAACATACTGGGAACGAGTCTGGGGGATGATGGGGACTTCTGAGGGGGGTTTTCTCCTCCCTCTCCTGGCGTCTTGCAGCCACAGCTCCAAGCCCTGCCTGCCCCCACACCCTGGGCAGTAGGCTGAGTGATCCCCACACCAACACGACAGGCACCAGGCAGGTGGCTGCGAACTGTTCAGGTTCCAGGCTGTTTGAGATGTTCATTTAGCAGTCCCTCACAGTGGCTTTCAAGTGCAAGAATGTAAACAAATATATGACTTTCTGACTTTTCCAAAATAGAATCACTGGAAAGAAAATATGAGATTGTGCTGGAAGAGTTGTGCTAAGAGTGTTATATGTCAGAGGTCCTGGCCATATGAATGGAGGGCCAGTAGTGACTAGCTAAATGGGAACAGCAGCAATGAAGCGCTCTTTACTTCTTCACTCTCAGGTTCTGAAGATTAGGTTTCCAGCTCTGTCATTGTTGCCCTGCGAGTGTGGTAGGCCTGCCAAAGGTACGTGATTGCTCTTTGGAGTTCTTCTGCAGGACTGAATTTATCAGCTCTGTCTTCCCTCACTACCAATCTTATCTTTCCCTGTGCGCCCAGAGCTTCCACTTCGAGGCTTCTCCTCCTTGTTGCTTCTAAAATCTCCAAGGCAGTTACCCTTATCTATATGGAAGCCTCTAGTGGGAACCATTTTCTCTTTATTTTTAAAGAAGAAAAGAAAAGAGGCATTTCTGAAGAATACTGTCATTTGTGCATTATCTATTTCCTTCCTCTAGAGATCTCCTTGAGTTGAAATTCTTAGCTGAGTTTAGCTCACGTTTTTGGTCTTGTTTCCTTTGGTGGTGGGTATTTTTGGTGTTGTAAACTTGTAGATAATCTTTTAAGTGAAATAAAAAGAATACTGTAGCACATAGTTTAGCTACTGAAATTATACACTATATGAAACCACTGAACTGGTGAGAAAAATAATTGAATCTATGGCTAGTAAACTGAAGTAATAAAATTGCTTGTGACAAAACCCTTCTCCAGATAAAAGAATCTCTTGTCTTGTTCCAGGTTATTATAATTATATCAGTAAGATAACTACTTAATTTAAAGGGTATTTAAAAGGTTTTATGTACGATTTTTTTCAAAGTAAGAAAGATTTTACATCCCTTCTCCAGAGTTAGGCATAAGGTGCCAAGATCAGAAAGTTTTAAGGGTTGAAAACTGTGGCAATCAGAAGAAAGCAGTTCAGGTTACTAACTTTAAATAATATTTCCTTGGGTATTATTATATTATTTTGTGTAAAGAATAAAACAATTTACTAAAATGCTGGTCTTATTATTATTTAATACTGTATCAAATAGCTCTTCTGTAGATTGCAGACTAGATTATTAATTTATTACACAATTTATGATTTACATAATAGAATGCAAAAAATTCCGGGAATCTGCAATATACTTTCATTAAGACTTATGTTTAATAAAGTTTACACAGATCATGATGCTGATTAACAAAAAGAAACAAAAAAATTCAACTCAGTTATATTCATAATGGATACTAACTTTCTTTAAAAGTCCGTCTAAAAATGTGAATAGATTCTTCATCTCTCCATGTTGGTATGTCTAGCTGTAAAAGCAAAAGAATTCATTTATTCTATGTTACTAATCACAGTCACAGTTAAAATAATCTATTAATAGCATTTTCATAAAAAAAAAAGGTCCCAAAAGCATTCAAACCATGTATTAAGATGAAGCTAGGCACCAAAACAAACTCCCAAGAAAAATAATAAAAATAACAAACTGATGTGAACGTTTGTGATTGAAAATAGCCTTTTAGGAAGTAGCTTTTCAAACTTTTGGACTACTACTCTTTTTTTAGCTCTTTAGTTTAATTTATTTAAATAAGAAAAAAATCCATGCAAGGCTTAGCTGCATCAGCACCTTCATGACTTGAAACTAAGTGTATGGAGGATGTTAAAAAGGAGTTGTTGTCACTCCCAATTGATCTTCAGCGACAGTGTGGTCTATTACTGAGTTAAATTGTCATTATGACTAACACCCACTAACCTCAAGCATTGTGCTGAATATCGCTCTGGTGAATTAATGTTGTAATTTCAGAATTCTTAAAGTATTCCTAATATTCTTTGAGTATTGTCCCCTACATTGCATCTGATGCAGATAAAATAATGGGCATTTCATGCTTGGAGTAATTTCTCTTTGTAGGAAAAAAATGAAAAGAAACAGCCTTGGCAGAAATCTCTATGCAGCCTTCACCCAGGAAGCCACTACTAATGCTTCCAAAATATAATTAACATGACAAGCGCTCTACAGAAGAAAACTGCATAGAAGGCAAAGCAAAAAAATATGAAAAGGGTGGGAATTTTGATGTATGATCAAGAAACTGAAAGAAGATTGATTTATTTGTTTAATGTTTAAATATGGAGTATTCACATATGTACTGTTAAATAGTGATACTTTTATGGCGGGCATCCCCAGCTCAAGGTGAGGCAGCTTTTGCCTGCTAAGCATTTTTACATGTTATCAAAAGGCAAGTGGTGCCGAAAGCTTTTCATTAAATCCCTCTTCCACCCCCCAAACTTCAAATGGAGTAAACTTTAAACATGTTACTCCCCAGCGTGTTTTGAAACCAACAGTTAAAACATTATTTCAAAAATATACTTGCGTCACTTGGATGTGAGGGAGGGTCACAGGATGCTAATTTTTCTTTTAATGTTCTGTTCTGCACCTCATCATTGGACTACGTGATTTGGAAAAAACCTTGATGTCTTTTCAAACTGTATTGTGTGGGTGGGCAATAGACAAATGTTTTTTTCTGTATATTTAAACACGCTAGCTGTTCCATTCAAGCATTGCAATTAAGAAAATATTTGCAGTACATCTTGAGTGTAACAAACCAGATTTGCAATTAACTATTGCGGTACATCACCAGGGCAACTCACTTCATCCTTTTCCTTGCAGACACATTCACCTTCTTGCAGACTCATTCACGTGATTTTGCAGAGTCGTTCGGCAGGCATTGGTCTCCTGTTCTTTGGAGGATTGTCTCAACCCCGATGAAAAAGAAACTATCATTCTTGGGAATTTCCTATAAACTAAACTGGGGATAAAAGGCTCAACTTGTACTGCTTATGTGAATGCAAGTTCTAAAAGTCCCTTTGAGAGATGCTGGACACTGGGGTTGGTCACATGCAGGTTATGTGTGGCTGTGTCTAAATAGAGCCCTCAGGGCTTCCCTTTGGCAGTGCAAGACTTCCAACTGATGTTCACATTTCTTCTAACCAAAGCAAAGTGTACCAGCATTTGAAATCCTTGGGTTTTTTTAAGCTTTTTCATGCAATCCGCCTAATTTATTGTCCAATGCCACAAGAAATCTGATCTAAAAAGCCTCGGATTTCCCTAATTGCTAACAAAGAGTCATTTTCCACCACCACCCAGTTGAAGTGTTATGGTATGACCTATCTTGGCCTGATGAAGTTCAAGAATAAATACTAAAATCTGTCTTACAAAGATTGGCTAAATTGGAATTGTTGTTAGGGGATATTTACCAATAGCTATTTTAGAAGTCCTTGCAGTTTGTGATTTTTCTCTTTAGAAAACATGAAGAATAAATGAATGACGTGAGTGTCCAAATAGGTCAGTATATTGTTGCATAATGTGAATAATAACTGCTTCCTGCTGTGACTTCAGATGGCTGAAGAGAGGATACAGTTAATATAGTTTATATAAATTAAATATGTTGACTGAAGGATTAGATTTTTTTTTTAAACGTAATTTTAAAATGTTCATTACTGTTCCAAATATAATGACTTTTACTTTTTAATCTTTGGAACATTTTTCCCTGGCATTTTTTGTAGGTATGTATGACTGACTTTCATAAACCTCAATGTAAGTATTTCAGCTTTTCAGGTGTACATATGATTGTTGATATCTAGTTCATGTTGATATGCTGTGTTTTAACATCGAATAGGATGTTTCTGAACAGTCTGTTTCTGAGTCTGTAATCTTGTGCAGATGATATTTCTCTTGCATTTTCAGAGAAATTCAGTATTTCAAAAGGAAATATTTCTTCTTTTTTGCTATTTATTATAGCTTTATGTCTTTTAGTCATTTAATAATAGTTATTATTTATGGATTAATTGCCTTAGTAATAGAGAGAAGTTATATGCAGAAAAACAGACTTTTTGCATGGTAGCACATGCATATATGTTGATACAAACATCAGATATAATACATGATGGCATTAATTCAGCTATTTCTAGGGTCAAGTCATGGGAATAAAAGGAACTTGCTTTAAATGACAAGAAATAAACTGAAGACAGTGCATATAGTACTTGCATACTTCCCAAAATAATCTGTTGCATTTAAGTTTCCTCAAAATTACTTATACAGAAAATTAATTTACATTGAATATTTTTCCTCAAAAAAAAAAGGATAATTAACTCAAATATGACTTAACTGGAGGTTTTATCTATAGTTTTGGTTATATTTTCTAAAGGATTAAAAGGAAGCATGGGAAAATGTAGTAACTGATTAACTGTAATTTCTCTTATAGAGCAGATAGATTTCAGGATGACAGCATTCCTCATTATAGCTCTTCTGGTTTTGTTATTTTGTTGTTTAGTCTTACTGTAACTTAGCTGTATCATTGTTCCTTGTGATCCTTTTGATTCAGGATGCAGAATAGAAAACTGCGACTCCTGCTTTAGCAGAGACTTTTGTACCAAATGCAAAACTGGCTTTTACTCGCACAGAGGCCGCTGCTTCCGAGGATGCCCCCCTGGATTTGCAGCCTTGGAAGAGCTTATGGAGTGTGTGGGTGAGTCTTGTAGCATAACAAAGTTCCTGAAGCAGCTCTTTTGCCAGGTGGCAAGGTTCAAATATGGCATTATTTTTAAGCTGATGCTTACAATTTCCTGTCAAGAAATATTCACAAATTAATTATGTCTGGATATTTTTACCCATAACACTACTACTGCTACTACTAATGTTTTCCAAAGTTTTGAAAAACGTTGCATTATTGGGAATGCCACTCTTGTTCTGCATCAGAAAGTTCTGTCCTCTTAACTGTAAATCACCTTGTATGAAGATTTATACCTCAGAATTTGTAAGATTTCAGGAAGGCCAGTTTTTGCATTCAGACTGTAGTCAGTGATGTACTTGGTGGGTTCTACCGACTCATTTTGCCCCTTGCCATGGGCAGAACCCAGGGGCAGGGCAGATTGAACTCCTGTAGCATATGGGCTTCAAATTCACTTTTAGTTTCTCTGCAGCTCCCCAGTGCTTTCCAGTAGCAAATATAAACCACCAAATAGGTGGTTTTAGTAGAAATTTACTTTATAACTCTGAGCCAGCGTTGGCAGTTCTCCCTCTGTTTCTCAAGTCTCATAATTTGGTGTTTTATCTTGAAGCCTGGGAATATTGTCAGAACAGACTCTTCCTTCCCTTGCATTTCATGATGGAGAGGACCTGGAAATGTGAACTCTTGAGCTTTGCAACTCCAGGTGACAACCAAATAGGATTTAATTATTAAGAAGAAAAAATTTAAATCAATCTCATGATTATAGGAAAAATTTTGAATATTTAGGACTGACATGATATCTATAAATAGAGATTGGTAATCTGATGGTTTTATGCACAGATTGATACTGGCCCAAAAGATTCTTTCAGGTTTCGTAAGAGATTTTGATTTTATTTCTAAGTTTTTGCCTGTTAATAGTAAAACTTTCAAGTGGTACTTTCTAATAGTGCATTCTAATTATTAAAGAAAAAAAAAGAAACCAAAGAAAATTGCTCACTTTTGTTTTCTTTTGCTTTATCAGAAGGCTGTGAAGTGGGTCAGTGGAGTGAGTGGGGAACTTGCAGCAGAAATAACAAAACATGTGGATTTAAGTGGGGCCTTGAAACGAGAACAAGACAAATTGTGAAGAAACCAGCGAAAGACACGATACCGTGCCCAACCATTGCAGAATCCAGACGGTGTAAAATGGCCATGAGGCATTGTCCAGGAGGTAAGTGTAGTCCATGCCACAAAAATCTTGATGAGTTTTCTTTAACTGAAATGCTATTTCTAACTTGAAAAAAAGAGCTATTTCATCCCGGCTGAAGGGGAAATCCTGTATTTGCTCTGCCAGCCCAGGCTGAAAGGCAGAAGTACTGCGGCAGTCCTAATTCATGCAGCAAGATTCCAGGGAAAGGCTCAGCATGGGGATGATAAGTCTCTCAGAAAACTGTGAAATGGTCTTTTACCTGGGGTTTTACTGAGGCTTTTTCAAAGAGATGCCTTCTAGAAGAACCGTAACAGGTTGAAGTTTGAGCTTCACCTTGAAAATGATAATGAATATCTAATAGTAGAATATCTAATTGCTCTGTGTATGGAAAGAAATATTATGATTCTAAACCTCTTTGCAGGCAGCATCCCAGTGCTGGTGTGATGGGTATTTAAACTAAATTAATTTACTTATACATGGCATTGTTACATGGAATGTGTTACTTGCTCTGAGTGTTGTAGATCAGGGCCAAACTATGATAGATGTAATAGAAGCAGAATAGTGATAGATATTAAGCTTTTCAACATGAGACCAGCTTATGGCTATTACCACAAGTAGATAAAAGAAATTAAACAAATTGCTTTATCATGGTGTTCTAAGACTTACATAGTGATACTGATTTGAAAAAGGAAATGGAGTTTCAAATTTGTGTTCAGTTTTGTAGACCCCAAAATGGAGATACATCACTGGTAGAGAGGAGTTTTTGTTATCTTTTAAACTGAAATGATTGACCTTTCACTTGAGTGTGAATATTTAGAGTTTTCAGATTTTGTAGGAAAGGTGGGCGATCAACAGGTGATAAAGATGCTGTTACTTTTGTAATCAGGCTTTAATAAAAGTTCAGGCTTCATGGTACTTCAAGTGATCTCTAGTTCAATGTTGTGCTGCGAGCTAGGTCTACTGTGAGATTAGACAAATAAAAAGGAATAAAGGATTATGGAATCCTGAGAAAAATAATAACCTGATGAATAAGGTAGAGCTGAAATAATCTTAGATAAGAAGTTTTCTTTGTGTTCTGGGATTGGTGAATAGGTCTCTCTTGGCTTGAACATACCGCCCACAAGTATGTGTGAAAACTGTACATAAAGTTTCATCTTACAGATTAAATCTGTTCATGCTTCACTATTTTCTCTACTACCCTGACACAACTTGGATGAGAATATAAAGTTGATTCTCTGTGATCCAGGTTAACTGAGTCTGTTAGACTCTTTTCCTCCCTGTCCCACTCCCTATACTCACCCGTGTGTGCATGCACACATAGTGATACTGGGGTGGGTGCACTGTATGGCATAATTTATCTGTCACCTAAATAAACTTTTAAAAACCATTGAAGAGTGTAACCTACAAACCAAACATTTCTGCAGGAAGGAAGAACAAGAGGTAAAAAAGAAGGTGGATTTAGGCTGCCATGGTATGTGTCTCATGGTAACTTTGGATATAAGGTAGCTACACTTAGTAGTGCTTGCAGCCTGCTGAGGTGGATGAAATGTTCCAGTTAATAAATTCTGAAGTCCAAATGGGGTTAGTGATCAGATCAACTGTGGAACTGTTTTACTGCTAAAATGGAAGGAAGAAAAAAGAGGCTGTGTGAAGTTCTAAAGAAATCTCCATTCAATTTTTTCTTTATTTTGCTGAGGCATACAGATTAGCTTCTAATGGAAAAATTGAGAAAACTGCAATAACACATATAGTTGTACCCAAAGTGTATAGGAGAAGATGTTTAATGAAAGCAATGTCCAATTTCTATATAAACTCCTGGCACGTAGAAATTTACAGGTGTAGGTTTAGTCTTGATTGTTTAGTTGGGATACAAATTATTCACATTGTTGTATATAGTTTGGAAAGTGTGCTTAAGTGGACCACACACATGCTATAGTATGTTCATGTAACTGGTAAGATGGAGCTGTTGAATATTCATACCTTTTTGCAGCAGATTCTCTTAGGCTATTTCAAGTTTTCTTGTCCAGCAATTCAGGTCACTGAATGAAGAACTACTTCTCCAATTTTATCTTTTGAAAGGCACGGTGATGTGCTTTCCTAAGAGTCAGGAAATTTATTGATTAGTCTATATCAAGAAGTTTGATCAAATCTCTGTGTTTCTTTCACTGTGTGTCAGGAAAGTTGTTGCTGCAAACACAAATTCAGTGTGAAAGGATATGGTACTCTTTCATAACCATGGGCTCCAGTAAATCCTAAAGACTGCAGTCCTCTCCCACGGTGGGGAATTCCCTGTCTGTGTTTTCAGAGATAAAAATAAATACATACAAAACTACAGGTCTGAACTCTCTAACCTGAATGTTGATGCTTAATGCTGATTCTGTGTCATCATATAAAATACCAACCAGAGTACAAACTGCTTTCTCTCTCCTAAGAAACTCTTGGAAAAGGAGTGTGTTAGTGGTGTTTTAAGTGCCAAGGGCAAGTCATTCCCAGACTTGGTTATCTCTGCAGGTGAGGAAGCCACAGAGGTTGATCTGTTCAAAACTCCTGCTTCATAGTATGTTTTAGTTATGATTATGTGCATGGCTGATCTAAGATCCCATTCCTTTATCATATTTAATTTAGTTTGCAAGTTTTCCCATTAGACACTTCAAATGTTTCGTTGTGTATTTAATCACTGTAAAATAGCAGGAGGAAGAGACACTGGTTACAGGGACGCTCAAATCGAGCAAATCCTAGCTGATTCTGTGTTTTTAAAAATACAGATTTTTCCTAATGTTAGAAATTTTGTAATTGAACTTTAAACTGAGGAAATAAGAGAAAAAAGTAAGGTTAGTACTACTGGGGGAGGCTGAAGAACCATAATCCCTGTAAATGACAGTTAAGAGGCTGTTAATAAATCCTTTCTTCCTAATGTTCTCAGTATATATACTCACACAAATGTCTAGGATAAGTATTGGATTATCTAGCTAAGATGGTGGTAGATTGTAGGTGGATTAAACTGAGCACAGGAAGTAAGGATATTTTTGGTAGAACAGGGTCAAATAAAGTGCTTTTGACACATGCTTTCTACTTCTGTACATTTTACAGTTACTATTTATTGTCCACACTACAGAAAAACTTCCAAAACAGATTTTTACACTTTTGCAGAAGAAGTGGAATTAAATTCAGTTTTCCTACTAAGCACTTCAGTTTCATATTTATCAGGGATTGAGATGTTACCCATCTGGCCATATGGCTGCAGTACAAATCTAGTCGATGAAGAAGAATTCTTTATTGCTTTCCCAGTATTTGCAGAGTTGTAGAGATACAAGCTGGAATGCAAGTGAAAAATTATTTCACTTCTTTCTTACTGAAGGCAGCAACATAAAAGGATACTCCACTTAATTTCAAATATGTTACTCAGTGATATTTTCTTATTGTCAGTACTAATTGATTTAACTGTTATTACCAGATGGGAATGTCACATTTGTGTATATGTTCATGTTACTTATGTTACCCTGTGGTTTGGGTGTAACATGACTCAGGCTGTGAGAGGTTAGACCTTGAAAACTATGACTTGGCTCATTTAGGCCACCTCTTGCCCATGCTGGTCTCTTCCTGGTAAGGAATTTTCTCCTCTTTAGATCAAAAAAACAACAAAAAAGATGAATTTTTTGAAAAGAGTGATTGTGTTGCAAGCATTAGGGAAATTAGCAGCCAGAATTACTGTATAGACTGATAAATCTTGCTATCTTGAAGTTTTCCTATGTATTTATTGCAAACATTCTCTTTTTAACTCTCATTTTTACATGTTCCCTGTGTTCACCTCAGTAATTACTCTTCTTTTTTTTTGTACCCTTGAGGAAATTACAGATTGCTCTCATGTTTCATATTAAGTATTACACAAGCAAGCAAAGCAGCTCTCTACTACTTTTAATCTGCCATCAGACAGTCCTTCAAACAGTCCAATACATAAATGTTTCTCTAAGCCAAACTCTATTATTAGGGAGTTGGTGGAAGCGCTCATCAAACCACTTTCCATTATTTACCAGCAGTCCTAGCTAACTGGGGAGGTCCCAGTTGTCTGGAGGTTAGCAAATGTGACACCCATCTACAAGAAGGGCCAGAAGGAGGATCTGGGGAAATACAGGCCTGTTAGTCTGACCTCGGTGCCCAGATAGGTTATGGAACAGATCATCTTGAGCGCCATCATGAGACATGTACAGGACAATCAGGTTGCAGGCCCAGTCAGCATGGGTTTATGAAAGCTAGAACCTGCTCGGCTATTTTGTTCTCCTTTTATGACAAAGTGACCTGCTTAGTGGATGAGGGAAAGGCTCTGGGTGTTGTGTACCTAGACTTTCATAAAGTCTTTGACACTTTTCCACAGCATTCTCCTGGAGAAACTGGCTGGTCATGGCTTGACTGGGCATACCCTTCAATGGGTGAGAAAGTGGCTGGAGAGCCAGGCCCAAAGAGTGGTGGTGAATGGAGATAAATCCATCTGGCAGCCAGTCAGGAGCAGTGTTCCCCAGGGCTTAGTATTGGGGCCATTTCTGTTTAATATGTTTATAAATGATCTGGATGAGGGAATCGAGCGCACTCTCAATAAGTTTGTAGATGACATGAAGTTGGGAAGGAATGCTGATCTCCTTTGAGGGTAGGAAGGCTCTACAGAGGGATCTGGACAGGCTGGATCACTGGGCTGAAGCCAGTTGTATGAAGTTGAACAAGGCCAAGTGCTGGGTACTGCATTTGAGTCACAACAACCCCACGCATTTCTACAGGCTTGGGGAAGAGTGGTGGGAAGGCTGCCCAGTAGAGAAGGATTTGGGGGTGTTGGTTGACAGCTGGCTGAACATAAGCCAGCAGTGTGCCCAGGTGGCCAAGGCCAATGGCATCCTGGCCTGGATCAGGAATAGTGTGGCCAGCAGGAGTAGGACAGTGATTATCCCCCTGTTACTCAGCACTGCTGAGGCCTCACCTCAAATCCTTTTTTCAGTTTTGGGCCCCTCACTCCAGGAGAAACCTTGTTGCTCTCTACAGCTATCCGAAAGGAGGTTGTGGTGAGGTGGGGGTTGGTCTCTTCTCCCAAGTAACAAGGGAT